ACATGTCAGCATACCAAGAGTGCATAGGAGGAGGTTCTATCTTTACACCAGTGGAACATTCCGGTTGAATCAAACTGGTAGGTGGTATCTTCGTCGCCAAAATCAGGCAGCTGCTTCAAACGAGGACTCACCCTGAAATTATTTCAGACGTTGTTTTGTGAGCTTTAAGCATACCAAAGGAAGAAAAGATGTGACAAATTATCCAGCAAACACAGAGAACAAAAAGAAAGTGTGGACGCTTGACAAAGTTTTCTACGATTTAAAAGCAGACATCAATGTGGTTTTCCAGGTATTTGTCTGGAAGTTTTACTTTGCACCGAGGCTTTAAGGGCAAGAGATACAATGACAGAGAGACTAGAATGGGAGAAGAAATGAAGGCACGATGCCTTGTAGATGGTCTTCAGAAAAGTGCAACTAAGTGAGACAGCTAATAAGTAGACGGAATGGCAGTGAAGCTAAATGCTAGTAAACAAAGTCATTCCAGTCATGGGAGTTCAAACAGCCTTGCAATGATGATGGGGATGAGAAAATCAACTGAAACGTTATCAAGTGAAGATGTGCAGAGACAGCAATCACAGTCAAACACAACAATCCGAAATATATGTAACGCCAACAGGAACGGACGGCGCAAAATTCATCAACAGGTACAAATTTACACAACTGAAAACAACTTAGTTCAAGAAGATATTGTTGGGAATGAAAAATAAGACACAAAAGACAAATTCAATGACAGCAAGCGGACGAGTGTGACACCGCACTGAAGCTCAGCAAGTCTGTATCATTTCAGGAGATGTGGTCAAACCCTTGCCACATGCAAGCAGAAAGGACAGGTGGCCAATATAAAGCAGTGAGGCCAAGCACAGCTAGAACCTTATGCCTGCCAGAAGGACAGCAGCACGAAGCCACAATAACTAAAAGGCCCATCCCTGAGATTTTACCACAAACCCACTCTCCCACAGTTAAGTCTCAGCTCTGTTTTGTGTCCATTTGTGTACTCATTACTCAGGCAAATATACAAACTGTTGGACAAAAAAAGGGGGGGCTGAAAATAAACTGGAAACGCTCAATGGCCAGATCTCAAACTGCATTGGGCAGCTGTTCAACATCTGTGCATGGCCAGCTATCAATAAATTTCATAGAGCAAACACATGTACAATACACACATGTATATGTACAAGTCTAACAGCTTTGCAAACAATGGGAGGACGAGCTTACTAGGTGCTCATTCTACGCAAAAATATCATTTACTTGAGAATGAGTTTCCAGTTTGTTTTGGCTCACAGCTGACAAATTTGTTCAGTGCTCTATTCTGCTTAACAACCTCTGTGAAACTGCACCCTTCTGGCAAAACAAGGGCGCCAACTGCTACAGTTGTCACATAGGGCCAATTTCATAGAGCTGCTTAAGCACAAAATTTGCTTGAGCACCAAAAAACCTTGCTTAAAAACAAAGGTTACCAGCTCAAAAACTAAGTGATTGTCATGCTAACCAAAAGACAAGTGAATACCATTCCAAAACAATGTACATCACATGGAGTTTTGGCTGGTAACCTGATTTGTCAAGCAAGGTTTTTTCACACTTGAGCACATTTTGTGCTTAAGCAGCTCTATGAAAATTGGCCCAAGTAAGGATTACTAAACACTGCACCAATCGGACTGACTGTCACGTGACTACGTAATCAGGTTTGACTGCATCTAGAAAGATCCTACAAAATAATGACGACTTACCTACTGGTGCTGTGCGCACATACAATATGAAGCAGGTGGGATTCAGGTGAAGGGAAAAAACAAATCAGCAAGTTATTGACAGCAAAACAACAAGATCACACTCTAACTACAGGTCAGTGGCAAAACTCAATCAAGTCTCCTAGCAAAGGGCAAGTCTCTTCCTGTCCTAACCGTGCACGGCGAAGAGAGATGCATGTGTCCCTCCGACCCATTGATGTGTATATTTAATAAAAAGGTGACAGGGAGTGTAAAGTGCCAGCAGGAAACCACCACCATAGACGGGTAGAAGATGATGTTGGTTGCTAGGGAAACCAAGATGCTAGTTACCAGAGGGGAGCCAAATGACAGGGGATGTGTTAGTGATGAGTCTGAGGGGAGGGCTTCACCATCACCATTGTGCTGCATCGTGAGTGAAAAATTGTGTTTTTTTCTGAGTCAGTGTGTAAACATTTGTTGGTTAAAAGGCTGCAAATGTTTGAAACATTGAGTCAATTACTCAACATACCACACAAGGAATAATTGGGGGAAAAGCACCCACAGAGACAGATTTTTCTCAAAAGACTTCCACCAAAATTAGCTATTTGAAAGGTAGACCTTACAAAGAGTATATGAGCGTACGGTTTGAATGCATGCGCTACTCCACAATGGACAAAAACTGTCATCTGAGAGCACTGAAGAGGTATCAAAAAATGTGGCCCGTTCATCCTGTGAGCTAAAAAGCCTTCAAATGAAAAACATTGACCGATTCTTCAAGGAGGTCTGACGATATTACACATGTACAGTTGGGTAGGCGTACCTGGGGTTAGGGGGAAATTTCTTTTGTAACGAAATTCTGGACTGAGTTGTGGGAGATAAAACGTTATCCCCTAGCATTTTGGGTCCCCATGAAATGAAAAGATGAGTGTTCGGCATGTCTCCACAACTGCGGCATAAATATGTGTGTTTTCCCAAATGAAGAATACTCTATGAAAATAACCGGCCTTTACTGCATGCACCTTCAGATTGCTACATCTAATGGAAATGGACGGCCATGTTAATACCATTAGGGAATGATTGTTTGCATATCGTAAAAGTCTGTGGCAGTCTTATGCTTTTATTGCAGTTTGACAATATCTCAAAGGAAACCAAGGATGAATAACTTTAGTCAGAGTAGTTCCGTTCCTTCCTTTCCTTTTTTAGGAGTTGAGATGCGGGGAAACATTGTAGACCTTGATTTGACGATTAGACAACCGCAAGTGTGACAGTTCTGAATCACTTGTTTATATAAAAAAGAATCAATTCTGAAGTCACTGATCCCCTTTTCAAGATTCGCTTACAATTTCAATGCCAATTATTTCATGATAATCAGAATAGCAAATTGTTTGGGAAAAAATATGTGGCTTGAACATTAGCCAGGATACAGTTCAGTAAAATTTGTGGTCGTTTTGTAAGTAACTGTCAGAGAGAGAAACAAAAAATCAAATCTTGGTTTCCTCCAATTAACATGCTGAATATTTATCTTATGTTCTTGTCAATATTAGGCTTCCTGGTGAGGAAACAATAATAAATATCGCCCAGTGAAATATTTTTGGATCTGAGTTAACTGAATTGCGGTATTCCGCCAATAATTCTTTGTCCATGTGTGAGAAAGTTTGAGATTACCAACATACACACAACACAGTATCACGGCATACCGTTAAAACCAGAATTAGCAGACGTGATGCACATGACACACTGGGTACATCGTGAAGTTACATTTTCAAAAGCTTCCCTCCCTGGCCCAAAATCTTCAACTTCTTTGACTTTTTCCCGACAGTGTGCTTGGGACAGAACCCTATGCTACTGTGATGAATGTGAAACCAAAAATCTGCCTGAACGAGGTGATGCAGCGTGCATGATTTGGGACTGTCAAAAGTGATTTCTAATCATTGGGTTCAGCCGTGTACAAAAGCCGAGATTTATATCCCTCTAAATGGCATCTATGGGACACTATTTGGTGTTAACACGAAAGGGAAGTAATCTCCAGCAAAAATGCTGTCCCTCAGTCACAGACATTCTAAACACAGGTACATGTAGGTCTGCAGCAGTTTACACAAACATGAACTATCACACTCACTCCGTTAGTGTTTGGTGATGAACTTTAAATAAAAAATCTCACGACACTCTATGATTGTCTTTGCATGCAGGGTGATAAAAAGAATATTATGAGCAAGGCAGACAATGGACCACAGCAAATACCCACACCCACCAAGTCGGCTTGGTGCTGTGATCACCATTTATATACTGCATCCTTAGTAGCAGGCGACCCAGCGACCCCACACAGGGGCGCGGGCGATCAAACCGGATGGGACGACGTAAAGCATAGCTGATGTGACAAAAAAAAAAAAAAAAAACGAGGATGGAAGTATAAAAGAGTGTTGGAGAGAAACAAAATGAAAGAAAACAAAACAAACACGTATCATCATGATGACAAAAAGTAATGAAGTTATTCATTTCAGCTGACCCAGTACAGTCTGTGCAAGTAATTACCCAGAAAACATGATAGTGACTAACTGCAACAAAGCAATTCCAAGGAAAGTGTCATCCATTGAAAAGAAGAATATTTGGAGCATTTCAAACATGTACCACAACTTAAATGCTCTGTCATATGCATGTACATAACAGTCAAAATGACGTTTTTCCCAGAAAAAAAAAAAAAAGCAAAGTAGTTGCATGAGACATGTGAAATCACCAGACAATTCGTGTGTTAAGGTGCAGTGGCATTTGCAAGCCGTTCTGAAAATTTGTAAATCCAGCCTCCTCCGTGGCTCAAACCTGAGTTAGTAGCAGATCTGTGCAGTACCTCTGTGGTTCATGTGTTATCAAGCAGAAGTTATCTGGAGTGTGTTAGATACATGCTTTATCAGTCTGATACATAACTGTGACAATCCGCTCCGAGCGGAACAAAAGAGGGCATGTTTTTTTGGTACTCACCGCATAGGCACGCCATGAGGCGCCCAAGTATATGCGCGTTTTGACACAGAGCACGCTGAGTACGCGCAACTAATTTACTCCGGCGTGTATGGTCTTTGCGTACACGCAGAACGCGTGGAAGAACCCGCTCGTAACCACCTGTCTTTCTTTTCACCGATTGGAGGTGCACTTCAGCTCAGGGTGTTTAAAGCATAAGACCAATTCTCACTGTGATAATTTGCATCTCAGAACTTGGTTCAGCCAGTAAAGAGTGCTCAATGAAGCTCATCGGTGCAACATGGTGACTTTTAAACAGTTGTTTACGGTAAATTCAAGGATACAAATCAACACATATAAAGAATTCCTTTGAAATTTTTAACTACTTTGATGATAAATAAAAACCAGAATAGTTGGAGAACTCAAAGGAAGATATGCCCCAGAAAATGATGAAAAAGTAATACAGTCACTTTAACCCTATTTAGATTTAAACTCTGGCGCAACAATATCAAAACATTTCACATTAACATCATTCTCGAAGCTGACTGACTGCAGCAAGTTCAATCTCGTTAATTGACTAGCCGTGTCTAAAACAAAGACGCTACTAAAACAAATCCCAAACAGTCCCCTCCACCAAAAAAAAAACATAAACCAAACCCCATGGCAAACATGCATAGAACGACCATCATCCATTTGTATAAGATCTGGCTACACAGATCTGTTTGAAATGAAATGAAATGCACCAAATCAATCCAACTCACAATCACCGTCAGGGTAGAAATCAATTTAACCACAATCAAGACATGGACAGACCACACTACCCCATCCTAAGCACACAGACTCCTGATCAACTGAAGACCACTCCTATCCACAACCACAGTAAGGGCTATCAATGGAAACTAGACTGTTTCCAACTCAACAACGAACTCGTAAGGGCTATCAATGCCATTTACATGCCAGTCCTACCCATCACCAAAATGAGAACTATCAATGCCATCAACAGATCACTCCTACCCATCACCAAGATGCGATCAATGCCATCAACAGGCCACGCCAACCCATCACCAAAATAAGGACTATCATTGCCAACTACAGGCCAATGCTACTACCAAAATAAAAACAATCAGTGTAAACCAACCAACCCTCCAACCCACCATCTAAAAACGGACTACAGACCACTCCTCCCCACCACCAAAATGAAGACCAACGTCATCTGCAGGCCCCCAACAACTTCCACCAAAGTATGGAGCATCTTACAGCCCAACCCTAACCTTCTCTTCTTATCTTTCTTGGGGGGTCGCGCCTGGACAGCTCTTGGTCTCTGAGGCCCACCTAACCAATCGCCGTCAGTCGGTGGGTCTCGACTGTACCGTTTATCTGAACAGTCAGAATTATGCGTGTGGATGGGAATACAGCTGTGCAGGCTGATCAAGTAAAGAGGGCAGACAAATTCAAAGGACAAAAACAAGCACTTCTTGAAATACAAGGCAAGAGTCGGATTACACAGACACTGAAAATCTAAAGCTAAATATTGCAAATCTATAAGTTGAAAATGTAATTAAATACAGCCTCAATCGGAATAACATCTAGATGATGCAACTCCTTTCCTGTCAAATCACCCACTTGCCCTTTTCCTTCTTTTCACATCTTGGAAACATAAACAGCACGATACTCACAAGTACTACCTAAACTTTCTATAACTACACTGTCATCCCTTCCACTGTCTCAGGTCAATTAAATGACAGAGTTTGCCATTGTCACAAGTTTGCCATCCATCCAGGGGAGAACATATCGTCATGTGCCTGGAAAAAGGACGTAAGCGCTTACGCCCTTTTGCCGGGAAACATTATCACTCCAAAAAAAACAACACACAAACAAAATTCTGGGCAAAAAGACGTATGTATGCATTGTTTTACTTTAATGAAATACAAAGATTTCTTTGGAAAAGGTAAAAAAAAATCCCATGTTGTTTAACCACTTGCCGGAGGTGTAATCGTACAGGATCTTATGTCTTCTATATGGGAAGGCTTTTAACCTAATGTACAATGTTAACAATCAGAAGCCACGCATACATATTACACCTTCCACCAATATTTTCCCCCAAAACTATATTTTTCGGAATTAGGCTGATTCTGAGTTTTACAGCAAGGGACACATGAAACCAACAGACAAGAATTTGAAGGAAATGGCTAAGTTTAACAAAGCAGGCCAACAGATGCAGGTTCAATGGATGGTAGGTTGTATGTAGGTATAATAAAGGTTGTATCACTAATAGGGTAATCAAAGCAAAATTAGGGCTCAGAATAACCAAGTTATGAACTTGAAAACTGCCTCTGTCCTTCCTTTGAAGAATGCTTTATCAGCTTTCTACTGATCCTGGAAGTCCTGAAGCCAAATATCCTCTTTGAAGTTTGCCTAATTCAGTGGAGGAATTGGCACGTAATTACTGCTTTATTTTTGTATAATTCATCTGAGAAATTGACTAACATTAGGGTAATTGATATTCATTTTGCTCTGTCTCAACAATTACTGTATTTTCAAATACCACATTACATCATCTTTACCATCTCGTAAAATGTTATTCCTATTAAACAAAGCCTGAATAGACTCCCATCATCTGATTGTCGATTGCATGTCACTTCATTGCTCGTCCACAAACACACACACAAATCCCAAACCTACAGTGTGACTGCCTTGCAAAATCTGATCGCGCCAATCTGTAATGTGTGGTACATTAAATGTTCAACTCCAAAATCACACATGAAACTCCTTAACTCACAGGTGATCTGCTGTTATTCATTCAGATGAGGATTTGTTTAGGATCCATCCAGGCTTCGCTTCATAGAATGGAACATTCCATTTATTCACTCACTCATTTATTTATCACTGCATTTTTAAAAACATAACAATGATGTCTTATCAGCAGGGACACGGTGCACACACACACAGGTTTCTGCACGCCTGGCCCAGGGCACGAATGACCAATTTCTCTTGGAATTCACAGCCTGTCGGTGTACCCATGGCCCCTACCAGGCCTCCCTCGTCTATGCCGGAGAGGTGGGTCATTCTGCACAGGGCAGATACTCACTAGGCTCTCTGGACAATTTTATTCCTTAGAAAATGGCTTCACAGCCTGGAATATGGAAGCAAAAAGCACGATAGCTAGGCGATTAAAACTGCTATACCTACTTTGTATTGAGTGTTGTGCCATTGCTCTTATCCTGTCTGCTGCCCTCTAGGTTTGACGGAATGCTCAGTGCTAATGAACAGATCAAAGGAAAGAGCAAAATCAGATTAACAAGCACTACTGACCAACATTTGTTTTACAAACTGTCTCCACCATTAAAACGATCCACTGCTGCATTTTGAAATCTTGCAAAAGGACTAACCGAAAACTGACTAACGAAGCAGCCAGTTAGCCAAAAAAAAAAAGAAAAAAAAAAGACATTCTCTTACTCTACTCAAGATACATTAAAAACCGACCACACATTTCACACTTTCCATGCAGATACGTTGAAGTAAGTGACTGCATCTAGCCATCTACACTATCAAACCGCAGCCAACTCAAAACACCTGTTGATAGTACAACAGTGAAAAAACATGCTGCTGCCAACAGGGGGCTCTCTTAACTAAACGAATGCTGGAAAATTGATTAATCAAATGGAATTTATAACATCGTAATAAAAGACATTCAACAAATATACATCGACATGGAACAAGCCTGACGGCTGCAGCAATCTGGTCTGTGATTGGTCAGGCGACATCACCTGAGGCTGAAAAACAAAATGCTCATGCCCAAGGCAAGGGTGTTAATATAATAAGCTTCACAGGAATTACAATGGCGATATGGGCAGCAAGGTACATTGACTGGATGCGATCATGTGACGGGGCAGTGCAGCTGTGATTGGCTAGAAGGCCACGTGATGTAAAATAACTGCAGCAAATGAAAGGAGGCTTGCTGTGCATGAAGTGCTTGTATCGCAAGTAACTGAAACGAGGTTATAATTTACAACATAATTGTTTGGACTCATCTCTAATGGCACGGATACAAAATTGAATCATCACAGTTGGTGGTTTTGAAATTGTATCTATACAATCTGAAATTGGTTTAATTGCATGTATGGTCAAAGTCAATTTTCTTGCCGTGGTTCATCAGATGAGAAAATGATGAGTATTTCTAATCACTGTGATCGGAATTCCATTTCTGACTGAAAAACACAACTTGATTTTTGATAAATTGACAAAAATGGCTTTGGGAAAGGGGACGAAAAAGAAAAGAAAGATAAAAAGATTTCTGAAAAGGTATGACAAGGCAGGTGGTTTCCTTAGAGATGCAATCAGTGCCAGACAAAGTATTCAATGGCAAACAGGGGGTAGCACTTAAAAAAAAAAAAGGCCAGCACTTTAAAAAAAAAAGGCCATCAATTACACGTTGCAGATGTGCACAGTCGTCCTTTACAATAAATCCAAAAGCAGCTTCCAGAGCGTAACTACGTGTACTTGCCAGTATACAGCACTGAAATGGCCGTTTCACAATAGGGCGCCACCAAGAGTTTGCAACGCGTTGGCCAATCAGAACGCTCGAAATTTGTCGACCCTTTCTAAACGTGCATTGGGTCGACAACTTTTCGCGTGTCGTGATTGGCCAACGCGTTGCAAACTTTTGGTGGCGCACTTATGTGAAACGGCCGTATTCAAATGCCTTGTTAATTCTGCACGATCTTTTTAAAGAAAACTTTCAGCAGTTGTAAAAGTGAATATTGATATTTTGATTGCTAAAATAAAACAAATAATACCAAACAAAAATTCTTTACGAGGGCAAATAAGGCATGTCGAGAGGGTGGGAGAACTTTGGGTGAAGGGGACCAGTGTGGATGTGGCAGCTGAGTAGTATGGTTTATGCACTTATGCTACTCTTGTTAACCACTTCATGCCAGATGACATGTAGGGTTTCCTGTCGGGTAACACAGAGGATGTTTGAACACGCTTTGTGGCAAATTCTGTTTGCAGTACTGGGGTGATGTCTGTACTCAGCCCTAAGCTTCAGTGGTTCCCACTGTGTTTATACACATGCCGGCTCAAACTATTCCGTGGAGGTTGAGCTTGTGTGGTATTTAAGTGATAAGCTATTGTGGCACGCATCATTCGGCAATCAGCTCCGAGCGGAACAAAAGAGGCCTGTTTTTTTTTGGTACCCACTGCATAGGCATGCCATTAGGCACGCAAGTGCACGTTTGACGAGGAGCACGCGTAACTTAATTATTAAGTTATGGTCTTTGCGTACTCGCAGAACGCATGCAAGAACCCGCTTGTAACCACCCGTCTTTCTTTTTACCGATTGGGGGTGCAGGTACTCCAGCTCGGGGCGGATACGGTTTCAGAGAGTTACATGTACATTTCAGCACAAGTTATGGCTACTGAAAGTCTCCACACTGAAGTCCAGTCTAGATACAGATACGATTCGAAACCAAACATAACCCCAATACTCTGAAATCCATAAGCCGGGTGTTCTGTTGAGTTTAAGACTTGAACTCTCTTCAACACGTTTTCTGACCTCATTAAAGATTTTCAGTCTTCCCATGTATCTGGTTTGACCTTTGACTAGGACAGGCACTTAAGCAGCAACACAAATGCTAGGCGGTGACAAAAATGAATATTCACATCAGACTCGTGACACAAATGTGCATTCTGCTCTTGAGCATACAAGAGCACTGATTGGTTGCAGGTGTTCATGTGCCTCGTGAATAGTTAATCATCCCCCTTACCGGCATCCTGATTATTAATAACCCCCTGTGCCTTCAGAATCTTCTCGTCTGTTGAGTGCGTTGTTAGAGCCGTGCTTATGTCAGCAACTGAAGGGGTTAAAGTTCCACACAGCAAACCAAGCAGAAGAGGAATAAAATGGTTATTGGGGAATTCTTCTAGATTTAGTCTCCACTTCCTTTTCTGCCCTGCAGTTTGGAAAACAATGCTGGGTGGGCACAGAACTAAAGTTGAAGTTTTCACTGGTACTCACAAGCCAGAACTGTTGACACTGTTTGAACGGTGGACAGGGATTTCAAACGAGCTACCAGTCAAATAGTCAAATGGCACAAAAGACATACTTTAAAATTGGTGCACGGCATTTCCAAACAGTTCTCTACAAAAGACAAACTGGGCACTGAAAAAAACAGAGGTAATGTCATTCAAGTGCAAAATGGTACCTACATGTAAAAATGTGAATTTATGAAGGTAAGCCTTACTCAGGGTCCACCAATTTCTTTTAAAAAAAACAGCTTGGCTAACAAAGTTGTGCACTCGATAGTGTGCAGAGTTGTATGAAAATTACTTGCAAACAACATTAAGCTACAATACCAGGTGGGTGTGCACAGGTATGTGTGTGCTATCATGTTTTCTAGTAGTACTCAACAAAACAACAAAAACTGCGAGGAACGTTCCGCTCGGTGGCGAGTTCCTTCTTTTGGGGACTTCCAAGGTATTCTCGTGGACTTCCAGTAAACTGACTTCTGGAGCAAGTTGCTCACGGAAAATTGTTCCAATCAGCAGAATGCTAATAGCAGACTTTGTATGGATGTTTCAATGATGTATTCCCAACATAAAGGTTAATGTTTGGACTGAAATAGTTGATATGTTCATGCCTATCAAATACCGGTATTGTGGGGGGGGGGAAGAAAAGTTTGAATAGAGAGGTGTAAAGTGCAAGTCACTCCGCGGAGTATCAGAGAGGCAGAGTACCATTTCTGGACTATCGTCCGGCTTGTTGGAAATCTGTGCAGTTTCTAGCGAAATGATTATAAACACAAAGACTGAGAAAAACTCCACTGCTGCACATGCTACGTGAATTACAGTCAAACCAATTCAATTCAGTGGCCACTATGGACACTTCACTTGTGCCTGTACATACCACCTGGCCATTAACAGCTGACCACATGACATGAGGCAGGTTTGTACTGATGACCACCATAAAAAGGTTGGACTGTCGGGGGAAATACTTACATGTCTGATACGGGTAAGATTTACAGAAAAATTCATTCTGGGATTTCAAAATAAGAAATGGAGAGAGAGATGGAAAAACGTGACCATGCATAAGGCGGAAAAAGGGCATGCTACTGGTTTTTTAAAAGTGGAAGAGAGGAGAGAAAGACCAGAAACCTGAGAATTTGTGGTGTTTGCGTTTCCGAGGGCAAGGAAGAAGACGCCTCAGACCTTGACGATGGCTGCGTCGACCTAAATAGTCTGCTACAGAGGGAACGAGAAAGGAGCTGAGAAAATGAAGGTGTAGAGATAGACCCAACACCGAGATGGAATGGGTTAACTCGTTACCATGGTACGGGAACCAACAATGAAGGTTCATGACGACACGGGATACCCATGGTCTGATCATAAAAAAACAATCATCCCAATACGACAGCTCAAGTAAGGATAACACAAAGACCATTTACCGATGGCAAGGACCCATGAAAGCAATCATATACTGATACGCAGTGTATTGTGGTACAATCTCAAACCTCTTTTCTGGTTCATCAGCGTACATCAATTATCAGTATTAAGTGTACCAGTCAAATGAACCAGCAGCGTTTCACAAGTGATCTGCTCTGTGAGAAGGAGATCGAAGCTGCCGTGGTCACTCAAGAGTTACATGTTCCGTCCTCGAAAAAACTCGAACGATCAAAATCAGTTGGAACCCTTGACATTTTTCACCCCCAGCGTCCATTTTCATGAGGATACCAAACTGAGCAGCCGCTCAAAACACAGAGCTCAAAAACTCAAAATTGACTCGGGTGATTTCTGACTTCTGTTCACAGAACGGGTCACAAGCATGAGACATATTAGTTCTACTATTGGACTCATCTTGGCATTTCTTCTAGAGACTTTTAGTAAGAGTGACGATCGGTAAGGACTATTTAGTGACAAACCGATTATGTACGCATGCAGGTAGTTCCAAGATAACAAGGTTTAAACGCTTTGTAGAAAGGGCCTCCAACAGCAAGGTGCAGACACATTTATGATAACCACTGATTTTTATGTGGCCCAGGGCACTGTGTAAGCCCAGGCATGCAATCATTTCCAAGGAAAAGCCAAAGATGTCATGCTGCCTTGAGAATAAAAAAGCCCACTGACCACATCACAGGAGACAATTGTCTGCTAAAACATGACTTTTGTAAAAAAAAAAAGGAATTGTTTAACTTGGGAAATGACAGGTCCTCTTCCTGACATTTCTAAATCCCTGAAACTTTCTTATTCTGGAGCCTAATGCTGAGGAAGATCAGGTGTTTTAGTGTTCACACGACTGCTCGCATACAGGTGGACTTGCACAAGTTTGGGGTTATATTCCCGCCACGTTAGCCTACCTCCTGCTTGGGGGACGTACCCTGACTGTATCGCACAAAGTACTTCAAGGCAGGACAATCAAGGTATACACCCGGATTAAATGCATCATGTAATGACTGCAATCAACTTGAGGGTTAATAAATGAACTTCTGATGTAGGTCACTCCTTGCATCGTTGAGAACAACGATCAACGATCATCGCAAGAACATCCAATGACCAGAAATTAACTCAGGCAAATATTAACAGATATTAAAAACTAAAAATGTCACTATGTCGGCAGTGATTGATAAACCTGATATTGACATTGAAATGATCTCTGTTACACTCAACGAAACGCTCTAGCATGAAAATGCTTAGTGCCGAGTTGCTGAAAAAGATGTTTCAATAAACAAAAAAAAAACCTGTTCGAAACACAGTGGTTACCGTTATCGCAGTCACACTGTTTGATCTTCTCCACAGCGATGACATCATCGTGACAGATTCTGCAATAGTAGTACGCCCTGAACGGAAAGTGACAGAGAGCACGACAACGATAAATACACACTTGGTAGGCACTTGAGAGATCCTGGGTAATGGGGAAAGCAAATTGGAAGAACTAAAAACTCTTTTAGGGGTCTTCCTGGTAATCTCTTTGAACCTTGTATGTTAAAAATATGGTTAGGGTTATATCCATCAGGTTTCAATCGGAACAAAGGTTTTGTTTTTCTGGTTGTCTGCAGTTGGCATTGTAATGAGTCACTGCCTTTTTGTGACTTGAGTGGAGTCGAATCATTTAAAGGATGTAGCCTGAGTTTACTGAGGTTACAGATCGAGAAGGTTGAATTGAGTCACAACAAACGGCCAAGTTCAGTCAGATTTATGCTTGAGTCAATTCGAGTCACTGATAGATTTATTTGGAGACTAACAAATTGGTACGAGAGACACAGAAATTTGGTTGGTATTGAGCAATTATTTGTCGTTAGCATGAAACAAGCAAAACAAACAAGGTTGCAGCTCAGTAGTGATGGTCCACCGGGACTCTGTCTATATTTATACAGTTTGCATGATCCATTCTGGGCACCAACAGTGGGGAAAGTTAAAATATTTGGCCAATACACTTTGAAAATTGGGATGTAAAATTGGTACCAAAATGACCAGAGAGCTTCCTGAAGGCCCTGCTCATTAAGACAGTGATCCAATGATATATGAGGGGGTGAGAATTTGTCCTCATCTTTTCAAGAGTTACTAACAGCAACAACTCGAGTAAATTAACTGTGGGTCTTACCGTTTGACCTCTTGAGCCGAGGGAGCAACAAAGAACCCCAAAGTTCCTTCGTGGATCTTGACATGAGGACCAGGATTGATGGCGATTCTGGAAGAAAAAAACCACACCGGGCTTACTAAAAACTATTTGAAAAGCACATGAACATGTGCATTTTAGGCAGGTGGAATACAAGTTTAGTTTACTATTAGTACAATCAACTGCTGTAAGCTTGTTGCCAACTTCAAGTAACCCCGATCGTACTCCAACCTGCTACTCCTTTTGAACTGAGAGGCCGTCACGATGTGGAGGTTTCTGTAACAAAGAGCCGTATTCGGGCATACTTAGATGTACTCTCCATGGAAACATATACCAGGCAAGATATGGGAGGGAGGGGTACCCCCTTACCTGTCCAATCCCTATGCACACAGTAGACTATTGTTACCTAACACATGCCCCCTAGAAGTCTGTAAAGAATTCCTGAGACTCCGATCAAACAATGACCAACACAAAGGCGGAGGGGTTCTCTCCGTCCCATATCTTTCTTCAAATGTGAAAACATGCTGGATTCTGCCTGCAATAAAGTTTGTATCTGCAATTATTCCAAATGTCACAAGATGTGCCTCGCTGGCTTTGCTTTTACGTCTAATCTCACGGCTGGAAGGGGGGCGAGATCTTGGCTGTCCCGAGCCCAATTTTTTTAAAACTTGGCACACAAAAAAGACATTCATTATGAGTATATCTCTCAAGTTTAATTTCAATCCAAGTGTACATTGTACAAGTAGTTTCACCTGTTCTCCCGGCCATTTTGCTGGATACTTACATGCTCTCCACTGTGTCAATGTTGGACTCCACAGCTATCAGCAATAACTTCAGCTTCTGAAAGCACACTCTAAAAAACACAAAGAAACAGAAAAGAAAGCTGCCATTAAATATCATTCACCCTGAAACTATCAGCAATTAAGTTGATCGGGACATAAATAAAATTATCTGAATAAGAACATACTTTCATCCCCTGAAACTAATTAATTTTTGTACCAAGGGGCTTTTTTCATCAATTAAAAAAAATGAACGCTCCTGAAACCAAAACTTCAGACACCAAATACCACACACATTCCTAAATTTTGCAAACAAAAGTTTAATTATCGAGATTCTTCCATTCAAATAACCAGCTCACACTAATGTGAAAGGGCACTGACACCTTTTGGTAAACAGGAAAACTCACACAAGTACACTGCGCAAATATTTTTAACAAAGTTGAAAAAGAAACCTCCCCCCAAAAAATAAGAGAAAAATCTGAGCCTGGCTGCAGCAGAATGAAAAAAAGAAGATGTTTTGTAACATCTTTTTGACAGAGTCTAAGACAATGAGGTGAATGTGCTTAAAACATAGCGCCTTACCACCTGTTTCATCTTCCGAAACCATGCTCCAGTACTTTTTATGTCATGTTCACTTATTTGATTTTCTTGGTTTTGTCTGTAATCTTAATTCTTCTTTGCTGAACCAATTTTAGAACTCGTTTAGTTCTTGTTTTGTTGTTTTAGATACAAGTTCTTAGTTCCTATTTAGGGTTTTATCACTTTTGTCTGAGGTACTCCGCTTTTTTTTTCCTTACAGAAAGTGCCAAATTAATACTTTTTATAAGTAGAGTGATTACTTACTGGGCCACTTCAGGGAATGACATTCCAGTGAAAGATTTAGAAAGATACTCCGTGTACATCTCATTGCCGCAGCCTTGTAAGTAGTGTGTCTGCCAAGACACCTTACGACCCTGATTTTGAAGAGGACAGGAAAAGGCACACGGACAAGAATTAACCAATTATTCTGAGCATTTAAGGTAATTTAGGGTTCCAGCTCACGAGTTTTAAATAACAGCCTAAGGGGCCCTGTTTGCTTCACAGAGATCTGGATCCCGAGCAGTGGTCCCAATGCTGGTTTGCTCCATCCATTAGGTGGGTTCTGGTGTTGGTGAAACAATGATGGACGACTGATTGAGATTCTGATCCGTGTGGAACAAACTGACCACCAATTTTAGCTAAATGTACATTTTTTGCTGTCGTTTGCTTGTTTTTATGCAGTGCTAAACAGAACGTTTTTCTTCTTGCCAATCAGTCAGGATCTCAGTCTCAGTTTGTATATAATTATTCGCCACCATGGCAATGATTGCAATTGAGAGCTGGAACCCAAAAATCTAGAACGGGTTGAAATTATTCCTGTCAAGTGTTATTTTCCAGATTTTTAAAAAAAGGCAATTGCAAAGGAAAGACCTTTATTCAGAGTTACTTGTAGTGGCTGAAATTTATCAGAAAGTCAAGGAAAACATAGAAAAATCAACTTAAGTTAGTAACATCTAAAGCAACTTAGGAAAAAAGGCTGTGCACATAATTAATGTGTTAATTTGTAATATGGTCAATAAAGCATTGGAAAGAAAGAAACACAGTTAATAATCAAATTTTCAACAATGTGACCATTTTTTTATAAATGTCAACATCTTAAGATGCCATGTATTCTACATATATTTGATGGTAAGTGACAGTCTATTTAGTAAAAATTACCATTCACAGCGTCATGTATGATTAATTCAAAAACAATAATGTTAGAAAAGAAAGCATGATATGAGGAAAAAAAAGGAAAATTAACCTGAAATGTGATTATGGTAAGAAAAAGGGAACAGAGAAAGCTGGGACAGTGGATTCATGGACAAACCAAGTACTAAATCTCAGGGGTTAACTATACCAATCTCATCATAACTTGAGATAAAAAGCAAGGAATAATGATGGACTACTGAATGATAGGCCAAAGAATCTACAACATTTGGGATTCTTTGAAGAATTTCACTTGAGATGAAATAGGGCAATGGAAATCTGTATTTTGGTAAAACGAGGTGACTTTTCCATGTATTCACATCACGGCCAATAAACAGTCATTGCATATTCAAAGAAGAGTTGTTAATTTTTTGGGGAAAAGGTTTCGCAAACTGTACAACAAAGTAAAAATAACAACGTATGGCATTTGGAAAATATACTCAAGTTGGGGGATTATTTCTTCATTATTGCAAGTTAATTCTCATAGTGCATGTTTAGTGAGCATTTCTCAAAATGCGTCCTTTGTTGACTTTACAACTGCATAAGAACTCTTACTGAAGAGGGTTGGCTCTGAAAAGGCACTCCGTTTGTTACATGTACAATGGCTCAATAACTCAGCATGACTTATTAGGCTGCCGAGAAAGTCCAAATGCATTCGCCTGATTGTAAGTTTCCTCAAGAGTGTTTGACAGTAGCAACTGCAAGTAGTCACAGCCTATTAATACATGTTGCCATGGAAGTCCTACGAATACATGTTGCCATGGTAGCCAACGTGCATTTGATTGACTGCAACCTTCCCGAAAGCATTTTGGCGGCAACAATTGCAAGTAATTATTTACAATGACTGCAACTGATGTATGTTCAGTTATGATGGCTGAAGATCTCCTGGAGGACGTAATGTCTGAAAAGATACCGTCTAGTTTTTCTTGCCGTTCGTGGTTACATTAACAATATTTTTCTATAAGTAAGATTTGAAGCTTTGCATGGCGGAAGTACATTGGGTGTAGGTTTGCGGGTACACCATGGAAAAATTTTTACATGGTGTACCCGCAAACCTACACCCTATATTTTTCTACACAAGCTCCAGTCTTCACACAGTCACTTATCCTTGTGAATCAAACAAGCTTGAAACTCAAGACAAACTTGCTGTGGCCAGTTTTCTCTAACATACATGCACCTTTTTGAGTTCTGGAAAGAAAGAAAGAAAAAAAAAGAAAGGATGAAAGTGCACGAAAAAACTTGTCGGATATCTTTCCGTGGAATAAATCACCGAGAGGACACTCAGGGCAGCGACGTGTGTACACTGTACCGGTACAACAAATGAAAAAGATAAAGGCTGTGTCCGAAAAGGGCTTCCAGAGCTACGGCTAGGTCTATTGTCTACGCGTCTCCACGCATTTCAAATGGAGCGAAGACCTAGACCTAGCTCTAGACAAAGAGATTCGGATGCAGCCCAAAAAGCCAGCATGGCCACTGACGGATGTATGCCACTACACATGCACTACGCAAATCACACGAAAATGAGTCAACCGTGACCAGAAGAGCATTGATGAGGGGAAGGGTGAGCAGGGGACAAAGGTGAGGAAGTATGGTGCTGAAGTATTTAACTGCTGGGTGCAAGGCCTGGATTGGGGACTGTTTCCTCAAAGACAACTGACACGGTTGCGAGACATTAGCTATATACAAGTAGCCGTGGTCATTATAAACGGTGTTTAGAAAGAGTGAACACTTTTAGTACATGTAGTTGTGATCTTCCTTTTTTAGTTTCTCAACTGAAGTCATAAATATTTAACCAATCATACGATAGAGCAAACTTGATAGAGCAAGTTTGCTTCCTTTCTTTCTTTGTTTAATTTTTTTTCCAAACTGACGCAGTGGATTTAGACACCTGGAAACATGTTTAATAGAAAAGTGTGAAATCTCGTTTTGTTGGGTGAGTCATGTAACTGATTCAAACTAACCCTATAATTAACCCAGAAGATAGTGAAATCTCAAAACAGTTTTACAGCATGTTTTGTTTGCCTAATTCCTGTGCATTTCCTTTCTGAAATCAGTGCCAACAGTCAACAATCTGTGTATTTTTTCCTAAGCTTCAAAAGTGTTTCAGGAGGGCAAGGCCAACGGCCTGAGCTCCTCCTGGGGGAACGGCAAGTGGTGGGTAGAAGGTGCGGAGAGGCAGATGGTATAAATGTGGAGGGAAGTTGGGTATCGATACTTGTGAGGCATGATGAAAGCGGACCGGGATAAACTGGCGGGATTTTACTTCAACGTCACTGGAGGGTTTACCGTTCACGGTCAAAGGTCACATAAACACACCTGATAGGCTGCTGCTCCGACTGAGAGAAAACCTTCACCTTCGTTCTGGGGGAGGGTTGGGGTTACGGGACCAAAAGATATCAGGGATACAGGGAGAGTTACAGGAATGGGAATAGACAAAACAAAGAAAACAATTCAACCACAGAAGAGAACGTAATAAGAAAAGATTCTGAGCAGGCTCGGAGTTTGATCTAACGATTCATGCTGACATATGAAACGCAAACCTTGACGGCAGTAACAAAACTGATCAAGTCTGCCCCAAATATTGGTACTAAGCAACGAAAGGTCTGTGTAATACGGTACTTTAATTTTGGCTCGAACAGAGCCTACATAATATGGTTCCACAGAAGACATACATGTACATGTATTTGCCAGATGTTGATACCACTTAAGAAGCAAACGGCGGAATTATACAGAAAATATGTACATGTAAAAAAAAAAAAGATGGAAAGATATATTTTGTTAGCAAACACCGAACAACTTATGTAAATAAAAGATCTTTTGGGACAAAACACATTCAAAAAAACTCAAAACGAAACCAGCATTTGGCACAATTCACAAACTGCTGCAGTGAAAAATAAAAGAACTAAACTTCACAAATTTGCAAAATACTGCAGCTGCTCTCCGCATTAACCCTAACACTCCTCAATCCTTCACCTGTTGGAGGACTGAGGAGTGTTAGGGTAAAGCCAATTCATGCAAACTCTAAGAACAACCTTCCAAATGTCCAAAGTTTTGAAATGTGGGATAATCCCAGTAGCAAGGCCGGATGGATTGTCAGTTCATTTTGCGGAGTTTCTGAATCTTTATGAGCTTCCATTCTCATTGAAATTTTCATTTCCATAGAGACCAGTGGAAATACATGAAGTTCTATGCAGTTGTTTATTTCAATGTCCCAAAAGTAATCAATTTATGTCTTTCTCTTCAATATTTGTCTGTGTGAGGCATTTTCTTGAGTGTTTTCCTGAATAAAAAAAAAAAAAAAAAAAGACAGCAAGGCTAGCCCAAACAAGGACGCTCATTCTGCTCAAAGTTAAATAGATTTGGCAAGTAATTGAATCCAAAGGCCACACAGATCTTCTGTTGCCACATTCTGAAAGCATTCTGTGGCATTTTAAGATGCAAATAAAGCAAACTTTGATCGATGCGGACAAAGCAGGCGAGAGACATTGAAGATAGTCTTAGAGTGCAATTTGTGCCCACACCAGTCAAGAGTTAGTCATAACAGTTTAGCTCTGTGACAATGAGAATCAAATTTCTGCCAAAATCTAAGCAGAGCACAATTTTTTGGATCAACTTGCACATACAGAGCCCTGTGAAAATACACATTTCAGAGATACTGTCTCCTTAGCCTTCCACAACTCCGCACATTGAGACCTACAGAAAGAGAAGTGCTGCTGCTTTTTAAGATCTTTTTAAAGATCTGCACAGGTTGTGCCATTTTGTTATGATGAAAAGTCTTGACTGGACGGACCCCTTGCAATGGAATAACATGCAAAGCATGCCAGCCTCCCTCACAGGTGTACATACAGCCAGATCAGTGGACGGAACTTCATACAAACTGGTGTGACTAACACCCTTACTGAAGGCGGCTCGCTTAATCTGTGGACAAAGGCAAGGCTCAGGACGTCTCACACATACATGTACACAGCACAAGGACAAAAGATGGCAAGTCCCAAGCAGTATTGTTCCCCTTCATGTTTATAGTTGAAGGGGAACAGTGTGGTTAATAGTGGTTGTACTGATTTCTGCTATCTTGATTTTACAAAACTGCTATCAAAAAAACGATCATCAAGAACAGAAATGCAGAAAAGACTTGAAAGATCATAGGGATTGGGGTTTAGCACCAATGCACTTCTTTTCAACTCCTGGAGTTTTGTTAGTTTAATTTTCAATCAATCTTAAAAACTGCTTTGCGCTTAGTGCGCTTAGCATATGATCTACAGTATTGATCTCAAAGGGAATGATTGGTTTCAAGGTCATTTCAAAACCTTTCAAGGCTGACAATCAAATCTAATTTTTAGACGTCAATCAAAACTAACAAAACTATGAGAGTTTTTTACTCTCTCAGCGTATTAGAATTTACAGACTTCCTAAGCTCATGGAGATTAAAGACCCGTCTATCTTGGAAGACTTTAAAGGGTCTTGAGGTTGCACTACACTAAATGTACACCCCCAGGAAACTTTGCAAAATCAGACAGACATAGCGCCACTTAGTGACCCAGGGGAGCAGATGGCTTTTCATTGGAAATTTAAGATCATGGCCACAACTTATGTTTTCTTTTCACTTACATGAGTTAGCCACAAACAAGTTTTATTCGCCCTTCTGCGAAAGTACCCCCAAATATAGATACGTAGTAGCCAAACCATGCGCACAGGGTCTAAATGTAGCTATCCACCTCTACGTAAAATAGGCCCACAATTAAAATTAAAGTTGCAGGTTTTTGTGAACGAAATATCCCAAGTAGGAAGTAATATGCACATGTACTAAGCTTGCTTGTCAGTGAGCAAAGAGGACTGCACTTTTTTCTGTTACAGTAAAAGCAGAGTGTATTATGAGCAAAGCCCAGAGTCACCATCATTAATGATTTTAGGGTATTGTTTACACCAACCCTTCTGAACTCCGAGTCCAGTAATGAGTTTTTCTCGTTATGGTTTTATTTCTCTGAGCCACCCCCTCCACTCCTAAACAGATTATTATGTTTGCTCTGCAGTCTTAGAGCACAACCCGACAGCCGTGTTTTTATGAGGTTCACAAGAGTGCTGATGCATCCGAGGCACAGGGTAGGATGAAATGTACCGGTAGGCTCATGTACGGTAGCTGTGCGACATTGCATCTATAAAATGAGCGGCATTTGGCTTGCCAAGTCAAGCGTAATTATTCCCAGCACGCCAATAAGGAATGCATCATTCTGTCCTGACATTCTAGGATGACATACAGCTCCTCCAATTCCTAGTAACGAGATGTTATGAATAATTCGTTGCGCGTAACAACCCATCAAAACTCTCCAGAGTGGTGATTTGCTGGAGGCACTGACAAGCTGTGCTGACACAAAATATCAGACAGGGTTCTCGCCCCTAAAGGACAATTAAATTCCATGACTTTTCCATGAACAAATTATAAAAATCCATGACCCAATCTTTTTGTGGACTATAAATAACTCCATTTTATGTGCTTATTTCTGATAACAGAAATCACACACAGTGTTTGAAAAATTCCATGACTTTCGTCATTTTTACAAAATTCCAGGACTTTTCCAGGTCTGCAAAACAAAAACAAATTTCCATGACTTGTTCATGACTTTTCCAAGCTGCGGAAACCCTGATCAGAACAGATCTAAGCACAGGTTGTGGAGTTCACACATGTAGTTGTCTACAAGACTGTATTCGGGAGTCCGCCATTTTCAAATTGAAAGTGAGGTTAACGTATCATTTTGGGAAACGGACAGAAGAAAATGAAGGCAATACAATGAAATTGTACGACAAATCAGTGCCTGTCTATTGTCTACTCTGATGAATGTTCTGTAATTAAATATACATGTACCTTCATGCGATTAGCTGGATTTTGAAAACTATTAAACAGGAGGCTTGGAATACATGCCAATCAGAAAATAATCTGGCACCATCCCATTCAACAGACTTACTATTTCATACAAAACAGCTTTAGGGAACATATGAGTAAAAATGGCTTCCTTGTTAACAAGGTCTGTGCTGCCATAATTTGGCCTAATCTGCCTCATTCAGTCCATCCAAAACCCAATTTAACGGCACCACTAAGCAGAAGATTATATGCTAACAGTGGCTCTGCATATTTCATGGAGACTGTAAATAGTAGGCCATGCTTACATGTATCTTGGAGTAAAACTAACTTAGTGACATAATAATGGAAATCTCTACGTGCTTGCAACAATTAGCACAGCTTCACCAAGCACAGCCATGAAATAGTGCTTATGGTCAGCAAAATTTTATGCTACAGTAAGCAAGACTTCTTTGCTAACTGTTAGGCAGCTCCATGAAATTGGGTCCTGGTTTCTCTGATTGCTAGCTGGAATGACAGCTGTCATACATGTAACAAGATGGGGCTGGTTTCATAGAGGTGCTACGTACAGAACTATGCTGAGGGACGAAATTCCTGCTTGGCAAAAAGAGGTTACCAGCCAAAATAGGGTGCTCTTCTATATGTGTTAGCTGGCTCACAGATGATATTTGCTCAGCAAGTAAATTGTTTAAGCAATATTTTCGGCTCAGCAACTCTGTAAAATTGGCCCCTGGCAGTACAACCTACTGTCATCTTATAAAACTGCAGTGAAATATGTGGTGCACTCACTGGCTTTGATCCGGGCTGTAAAAACCAAATACATCTTATTGACACACTGTAACATATCACGTTTACACATATTTTACTGTTCCAACGTCATAAATACATAGATGCATTTACATAGATGTACTACATTTCAAAGTGGCATATTAAATGTGATTACATGAAATGCAATTTTGAATAAAAATTTCCATGCAGTATACTGTCAACCATGCAATTATAAAGCGATATTTGACATGTATTTCATTACCCCATTACCCACAGTCTTGTTCAAAAAATCTTCACAGTCCACTGCACATCAATGCACACATTAAATATGGCACAGCAAGCTGTGAACACGTGACACAAATTTTCATTGTGCTGAAAGGCCCGTCATGTATCATGTTAGCCTTTGCACATAACAGAACAAAGAGATTTATATGTAAAGTTAGGTGACCCCTAACTTCTGCATAAAATGAACTTATACTATTTGGAATTCTGAAGATCTGAAGTGTGTGATAAACTAGAGCACTCCGGTCGTGGCACGGACTGGTTTTCAAAATAGAATTTAAGTGGAAGTTTTCCAACATGCAGACTCAACTCTGCAACCTTGTATTTAAAGCGGTAAACAAATACTGATGTTGATGCGTGTATTGGTGATGCTGGCAGCTTTCATGAAACACGCTGGCCTTTAAACTGACAAGGCAAAAAAGTTCCATGCTTGCAAAGAGGGCGTTCACAAAACGTTCACAGAGCAAGAGCACAAGATGTTAGAATTTACCTCGCTGTTGGAGCGCATGGCAAAGAGGTTGGCCATGATGGTGGAGAAGCCCGGGGCCAGACAGGCCTGAGCGATGAAGCCCAGCTTCAGCTCGGCGATGCAGATGACGTCATCACCGTCCCTCCAATTCCAGCTGGGAATGTTCAGGAGATGGGCCTATTAACCGAGTGGAAATTTAAAAAAAAAATGAAATCGAGGTATAACTTGGCATGTGAGGAAACTGACAAGTTGCTACAACTGGACCAAGGGGACCAAATTGGGCTCTGTGCCACAGGAGCAAATGCTTGCTCCCTAGACAGGTGGAATTCCTCCCTCCCCCCGGAACAAATTTACCCACTTTCGAAGCTCCACATGAAAACATAAATCAAGAGTTATTACCATGAAAGACAGCCTTTGTCCAGTTACAAGTGAGGTGAGTTTAATATAAATTTTTTCTGGCAACACTAGAAAGCTTTCTCATCTTGTTCCTACAAGTTATGTGCATGCGCATGGCTCCGAGGGGTACAGGAAACAAGGGGTCCTACAGGGACGATATACCCAAGGAAAACCTTTGAGGGTGGAATAGATCGAAGGGAAAGCAAAAGATGAACCCCACAGGTTTACGTAAAACTGAACGTGAGGTACAAGCAAGTAAAAAAATATTAGTCAAGTGTGCGCAAGCGTACAAATAACTGGACCCTTCGGTTGAAACGGCAAAACACTTGATGAATATATGTACAGAGTATGTGTCCGAGTGACATCTTTTGAGATGGGTGCACTGCTGAGACACTGGCCACGCCCGTCTCACCTTGTTGTGGTAATTCATGAGTTGTACAATCACCCTGCATTTGGAGTGATAATTCTTGACCGAGATGACGCGCATGATGTTGCCCGCGTCCTCCGCATCGGGGTCCAGGTTGTACTTGTCGCATAACACAAGACACGCATCGGCCTCTTTTAGCTGCACAACAATGAACAACAATGAACGAGCACATGAAATAAGACAAATAGAATCAGTTTTAAAAACTCACCGGTTATTTTGGACTTTCAGTTTTTGCAATTGATTCGAAGCAATGGCAAGTACATGACATCCAGGTCAGTGACAGTTCACTCTCCATCTGATCTCACTAAGTCAATAAAAATGCACAGGTGCTAATCCCCAGTTTGGACCCCCCATGCATGTGTTTTTACTGCATGCATTCTATTAACCAAATCCACACCTGAAAAACCATCTGCTTATTCAAAACCTTCCTGCTCCTGCGTATTTCAAAAGGCTTTCCATGATAACTGTACATGATTTCCCAATTGGGGACCCTGACCCAATCATGACCCTACTGGCGTCTCATGTTTAGTATCCACGACTGAACCTGGATACTTCATACTCAGACCCACACAAGCCCCTTTTTTCCCCGTATTCTGGGATGCTTTAGCAGAAAATATGGAAAAACCAATTTTTTTTTGGAAACAGTAGCTGTAAACCATGTAGAGAAAAGCCTGACTAGGGTCTACTTGCAAACTTTTCATGAAAATTTAAATCCTTTGTAATTGAACGGGCAAAGGATGTTATTCCATGACTTATTGTTTACTTTAACGTCAGAATCAATGTACTTTAAGTTACATAAGTAATATGTCTCATATCACCAAGCTTTCTAAAACTTGCATTAACCCTAACGGTCCCGAATGCTACAAAGTACTACTTAGTAGTAGAATGTGGTACTCAGCCTTGTGGCTTGTAAGAGGACATGACATCATTA